AATATTTCACCTAATGAACTGCAGAATGGAGAAATATTTTGAATACCAATAAACATGATTCTGGTAATCACAAATTTGAAGAATAATGACTTTTAAAAATAACTAAACTAATTTTGGTTGATTAGATAATATTGGAAAATATCTGTAATTAACTTAACTGTACATATTAATATATAATAGTAATAATAAATTTTTATCTATAATTACATATAAAAGTAATTGGATTTTGTATTGTTATTGGGTGCAAAATATGTTTTTTTACCTTTTCTTTATGAATATAATTATTAGAGATTAGATTATCTAATTGTTTTTTGTACGTTACATTACTGCTTTTATTATTATAATATAAACTTTGTTAATTGTATTGATTTGATGATTACTCCCCACATTATATATTAGTTATACTAGAATAAAAAAATATTATAAAACTTAATAAAAGATAACTATTATATGTATATATTTTCTATAATTTGTATGTAAATTTAATGATACATTGATTTAATAATTATTATAATATTTAGTTATATTATAATTTAAAAAAAAGTAGACATATATACTTGCATATGTGTATATTTTTATTTTTTAATTTAAATAATAAATTTTTAAAACAATATAATAAAAGAATGTAACTGTTATTTTCTGTATAGATATTTTTTCTCTATCCCACACCCTTATTACCATAATTAATAGAGATTGTATTTTAATTGCTTATTTGATATATATAATAATTTTTTTACTATTTTTATCCTTGCAAACATAATTAATTTTACTGATTTAATAATCTGTAAAACAATTATTAACCATAAATATCAATTATTATAATGAAAATTATAAAATTATAAGGATTAATAAAATATAATATTTTATGTATATATTTATATAATTTAATGTAAATTTGATAATATTTGGTATTTAATAATAAAAAATATATATTTGCCTTTCTCCATAGTATACTTATCCCAATAACTTTTCTGAAAACCATTATGATAAACATAATTTAAGAATGTTATGATTTTAGATCACAAATCAAACTAAAAAGTATTTTTTCAACCATGAATTTTAGAAACATTACCCAAATAATCATTCTTAATAAATATAATTTATAAGTTTTATTTTCTCAAAAGATAAATCAAAGGAAAAAATATGGAGATTTTTAAAAAAAAACAAAAATTTTCCCTTTTACCAACCAATGCATGTCTCATGAATTATGATTCCTCCCTCATACTTAGGATATTCTGGTTTACAGCAAATCTTGATAAAAATGGAAAGAAAAGAAAAGTAATCAATCAAACCAGAGATTGAGACAAAAGTGATATTGTGAACGACCCTCCAGTAACAAGGTGCCACGTGTGACAAGTAGAAGCAGTTATAAATTTGCTACTGTTTCCTCCACTTGTATATTTGATGTGGAGCACAACAAAAACAACACACAACATAAACACAGTACAACTTTCATCAATCATTATCGTTTCATCTTGTGTTCATCACCATGCTGATGTCTTCACGAGGCTTCATAGCTTATCTCGTATCTGCTTTCTCTTGTGCTGTTCTGTCTGCGCTTTTTCTCACCAACCATTTTCATCATGGTCAAAATTCACCTTTGCTAGCCTCCAGTTTGTCTGGAACTCTTCGAGTTTGGCCTGTAAGCACTTTCTTTTTCTCAGTATGTGATTCATCAACAAAAGAGTTAATGCATACCAACATGGTATATGACTTGTGCTGTCTTATTTAGTATGTAGTGAGATGTTCAACTTAGGAAGGCTGTGTACGGAACAAGATATGTCTTACAAAAACATGCGTATTTATTACATACTTTACAAAATCATTAAGTAACTGAAAAACAGAAGTGGTAATTTGTTGTTTTGCTGTTATCATGAAAAGTTACTTGCTTTCTTTTTCTACTGTTAATTATTCTTGATACTTTGAAAGATGGTTTTTTTATTTAATAATGATTGTGGATTGTGTTGTGTTTTTCTGTGTGTAGGATTTGCAGCCAAGTTGGAGACTTGTGTTGGCGACGGTTATTGGGTTTGTTGGATCAGCATGTGGAACCGTTGGTGGGGTTGGAGGAGGAGGCATTTTCGTTCCTATGTTAAATCTGCTTCTTGGCTTTGATACTAAATCTGCTGCTGCTCTTTCTAAATGTACACAGATAACACTTTCTCTTATGACCAACTTTCTCTGCCGTGTTACTTTCTAGATTTGGTTTCTCAGAACATGTGGATCTATGTTGTGATAATTGTGGGTTGTGGTTGGTGTTTAAAAATCTGGTTTTGGTGTGACTGACATGTTTGTCGAAAATGTTAAGGTATGATTATGGGGGCATCGGCATCATCGGTTTGGTTCAATGTGAGAGTGCCTCATCCAACGAAAGAGGTGCCCATATTAGACTATGATCTGGCGCTTCTGTTTCAGCCTATGCTCATGCTTGGAATCACAGTTGGTGTTGCTCTCAGTGTTGTCTTCCCTTACTGGCTTATTACTGTTCTTATCATCATTCTATTCATAGGTTAGATACCAATCTTTTTCATTGAACTAATCAGTTTTAGGCCACAGTCATAGAAGAGTGCTTTTTTGTCTCATTTATATGGGTTTAATCTTTCTGCAGGAACTTCTTCAAGGTCTTTCTTCAAAGGAATCGGGATGTGGAGGGAAGAGACTATTTACAAGGTCAATTTTCTTGATTTGAGGCTATGAACTTTAATTCTTTTAATCCGAGTTTTTTACTTTCCCTGTTTAATTTTTGTTTGCTATCATGCAGAGAGAAAAGACCAAGCAACGAGCGACTCTGATTAATTCCCACGATGAAGATAAGACAGGCATGTACACTTTCACAGTACTATATTTTCATATAAAATGAAAAAAGTAAACAGTACAGAAAACTTTCATACTATTGTTTCTCTGACTGAATGAGTGTTGTCTTTGTTTATGCAGTTAGAATCGACACAAAATGTGAGCCTTTGATTCCTAGAGAAGAGAAGTCAACTGTGGTATGCAAACGTGTAGCACATTTCACAGATTATTCATTTTGCTTTATCAGAAACGAATAGGCAAATTTAAGATACTTGACTTTTTTTTGTTCAATGAAAATGTTCAGGAAATTTTATGTCTGAACCTTAGGTGGAAGAGGATTCTGGTACTGGTTCTGGTTTGGGCTGGTTTCCTACTAGTTCAAATCATCAAGGCAAGTGTCCCACCTCATTTTCCTTCTCTTTATCGCTTACATTTCCATTAAAATGAGTTCAAAGTAATATCTACTTTTGGTCTGCAGAATGATGTGGAGAGCTGCAGTATATGGTATTGGGTGCTTTTTGGCTTGCAGGTTAGATTATAGAACTCATTAAACACATAAACTCAACTTATTATGTAACTGGACTAATTCTCTAGCACTTTTTATTCTCTCATTGTCTTGCAGTTTCCAATTGCACTGTTGTTGTTTGGCTATGAAGCAGTGAAGTTGTACAAGGAGCACAAAAGGAGGATGAGCACAGGGAACTCTGAATGCATATGTGGAGCTTCTATAGAATGGACTGCTGTGAACCTTGCATTCTGTGCATTATGTGGCATTGTTGGGGGAGTTGTTGGAGGCCTACTTGGTTCTGGAGGTGGATTTTTTTTGGGCCCTCTTCTTCTAGAGATTGGTGTCATTCCTCAGGTAGATTCAAATGCCCTTTTGATTGAGCTAAAACAGTTAAATTTGGATCACAATTCAAGGTGTTTGATTTGATCATATCTTGTAGGTTGCCAGTGCAACAGCAACATTTGTGATGATGTTTTCCTCATCTCTGTCTGTGGTTGAATTCTACTTGCTCAAGAGGTTTCCCATTCCTTATGGTAATTTACATTAACTCTTCAGCCTTTAATCCCTTTTCTCACTTTCTGATGATGTTATTATCTTGTTACCAGTTACATTAATATAATAATAACTTTAGTCTTTTTCTTTGGATTTTTCTTGCAGCATTATACCTCACCTCAGTTTCTATTTTGGCTGGCTTCTGGGGCCAGTTTTTTGTGAGAAGAATTGTTGCATTTCTTGGAAGAGCATCAATCATTGTATTCATCCTCTCTGGTGTCATTTTTGCCAGTGCTCTCACTATGGGTAAAGAAAACCAACCCAAATTGCTGATTACAATTTTTTGTTCTTAATGTAGTTAATACATGGAAGTTTCTGATTGTGAAATTTTTTCTTTTTTCTTTCAGGTGTCGTTGGCATTGAGAGCAGCATTGAAATGATAAACAACCACGAGTTCATGGGATTCTTGGGATTCTGTTCCAGCCAGTGATATATCTTATATTATCTTAGACTGCATGAGAAATAGAAAAATAAAATTTGGTGTGAATGAAAATGAAGTGTGAAGAACAATGGCACTAACAAATGTTGGTCAATGCCTGGTTGACCACCATGAACGTCAGTGTCGATAATAAATAAGGCTTGTGAGAATAAATTTGTGGATGAGTGTTAGCTCCTCGCTAACACGTATATCACAGTGGTTTCAGATTTCTTAAATTTGTGTAAAGAAAAAAGAAACAATGGAAATTATATCACTTTGTTTTATATGTTTGGATGTTCAAAAGATGAAGATACCTCCTCAGATATTCTCGTATAAAATTGAGTGGGTCATCTTAAATTATTATTAGTATATACCCAACATGCTTTAAGACTTATTGGAATATTAATATATAAATCAGAACACCATATAGGAATTTATGTCTTCAATTTGTAGCCATATCTGGTGGACCAAATATGTTGAGGTTCATAGCTTTTTCATGTGGTATGCAAATACATTGTGTTAGGGTCTTAAGGAAAATAAATATGAACAACATTGAATGACAAATAAATATCGCTGTCGTTGTCACGGATTTTGGTCATAAATGTGTGGATGTTTTAATAATAAAAGTTTTATTTTTTGAGTTGGATTTTTTGAACAAATTGAATGAACTGAATTTTGGTGTGAAGAGTGTGGAAATTGAATACGGAATATGCATCGTTGGAATGTTGTCGGCTACTGCCTACAGAGGTGTCATCGTCAAAGAACATCACGTGACCACGTATATGTTTTGCTACAATAATATAATAATGATATTTAAATTTGTCCCTTTCTGAAAAATTTACTAAGGTGAATTCTATTAAAAAATGCTTTATTTTGTATCCATCCCTTCAAAATTTTGTTTGGTTGTGAGGGAAATTTTATCACTATTATATATTGGAAAATGTTTTTGTTAGATGCCCCTTTTGAATTATGACGTCACTCGGTTCCTCTTGGTTGGCACTTAACCTCACCTCATCATTGGATCCTTTGAATAATGTGTTTAACTTTTGAAAGAAACCGCGAGCCATAAACAAAATTCTTAGACAATGATTGAGCTTATGCTTAGCCGAAGGTTTAAGAATAAATGAACGCTAATTAATAAAAGAAATACATCTGAGTAAACAAATTAAAAGACGTCTGTCAGCTTGTCATTCATGTCGAGTTTGACTTGATTAATATTTATTGTTTAGCCCCAATAATGGTATTCATATACATTACAATATTGTTTCGTCTTTTTTTCCATTTTTTCCCTCTAATCATTTCGAATTACTAATAATTTAATTTCTCTCTCCCTTTCATCTTTAGGGATATTTTTCACTGCGCACAATGAGAATTAGATGAATTAGAAGACAAATTTGCAAGCACCTGAACAGCAACAAAAAAATGTCTCTTTTAATCGCAGGTGTATTTCTTTTAAAATGTGTACAATAAAGATAGAAATTAAATTAAAATCAGATATAAATGACATATAATTGTTAAAAAACACTTCCCATAAACAAACTAAAATGCATCCACCCAAATTTGGCTTTTTTTTGTGATTGGTTTTTATTTCTGCTATTAGACTCAACTTTTGGTTTTAGACCGTTCGGTTTTTTTCTGTCCATTTAGTCTTATTGTGTGATTGTTCGAGCTTTAGTTAGTGATCGGCCTGTGTTGGACTCCTACTGTTAATAATCATTCGATCATTGACTTGTGTTTGTTACAGTTGTTTTGATTGGCTATATATTGTAATTTGTCTTTGCAGTTTGTAAGTTTTTTTTACAATCTCGAAGTATTATTCAGATCATTTTTCTCTCTGTCATTTACTTTCTTATTCTTTCTTCTTTGAATCTGGGTTTTCTGTTCTTCGTTTCACGCGAACCCAACAATTGGCGCCCACCGTGGGACTGTGAATCAAGAAATTCCAGAAGCGATGGCAACCAAGTTCGATGTAGAGAAATTCAATAGATCAAATGACTTCGGGCTGTAGAAGATCAAGATGGAAGCTATCTTGATACAGCAGGGCTGTGATGATGCATTAGGAGGAGTTGAACATGAGTGCTACTCTGACGCAAGAAGAGAAGAAAAGAATGGTTGATAGGGCAAGAAGTGCAATCATATTGTGTCTTGGTGATAAGGCGCTAAGGGAGGTTGCGAAGGAGAGGCTGGAATATGGGCAAAGTTGGAATCATTGTATATGACAAAGTCGTTGGCTCATAGGTTGTGTTTAAAGCAACAACTTTATTCGTTCAAGGTGACAGAATCAAGAACCATAGAGGAGCAGCTTG